AAGATTAGGCTTTGGAGTTTCGGGGTCTTGGGGGAGTCCTGGGACTTGTGTATAGGCTCAAAGGTGAACGATATATATCCGTGTAAGAGCAGACCCATGGATTCCTGAAAAATGAGAACAAAGGGTTTGGGAATGATACGGTGTAGCGTCTTACAAGGTTTAGAGGAGGAGAGTACTACTGCTGCTGAAACTTCTTCAGCCCTCTTCATTGTGCAAAGCGGCCGCTCTCCTTTTGGAATCTGGCTTCCTCCTTCTCGCGGAAATCCTGGAACACACGTCAGGGGTAGACCCAGACCGGTTAAGTTTACGGAAGGGACGACCTGGATTTCTTTTGAAAATCCCCCTGCACACAGTTCTACCGGATATCTTATCTACAACTTGTTGGTTTAGGTGTTTCCTGGCGGCTCTCTAAGTGTGCGGGTTTATACGGGTTTAGGGCCTCTGACTTGGATCCTTCTTGGAGGGCTCTAAACCCAAGCAGGCATGCTGAAAGAAGACACTGCTCGAGAGGGTGGCGTGCAAAAAACCAGTCAAATGACACGGGACTCCAAGGTTTTTTTTTCTAATTTCTGATGCTTCAGACCCCTGTCTTGAGCACTTCCCGGCTCTCCTTGAGCTCCTCTTCGGCCTTATCCTTGGCCTGGCGCAGCTTCGTCAGACCTCGGCAGATTCCCAGTGGGTTTCTTGATTCTGGCCTAGCCTCGCAACTTCGCTAAAATCTCCAGAAAGGTACGACCGAGGCCCTCTCGGTTCTTCTTGGCATTGGCGATGATCTCCTCTGCTTGCTTCTCCGCCTTTTGGAAGAGCAGGTCACCATTTGCTGGAACTTTCTCATCAGGACCCTCTCCTTGACTCAACTCCGAAACCTGGTTTTGGGCCCTGTTGCCAGATCTTCACAGTGGCGGCAAGGAAGAGCAGCCTGACCCCACCAGCTGCACCTTCAACAGCTAGCTCCTAGCTCCCTGCTCCCGCTTGCTCAGCTTTTGGGCTCGCTGTTCCGTGTGCTCCCACCCCAAACCGAAGCGCCGAACCCCAAACCGAAGCCCCGAAGTTCCTAAACCCGAAGCCCCAAAGTTCCCAAATTCCGGCGGCTGCCCAGAAGAACCCCACTCCCAAGAAGCCTGGAGCAGCTGCTGGATCAGCTCCTCGTGAGGCTCTCGTGGATGGAACCCAACATAAGATGATAGACAGTATACTATATAATGTAGCCTATAGTAGATAGTATATAGCATATAGTATATAGTATACAGTATGTAGTATATAGTAGATAGTATATAGCGTAAAGCGTAGCATAGCATAGCATAGCATAGTATAGCATAGTATAGCATCGTATAGCATAGTATAGCACTATAGCATAGCCTGGAATAGAATAGCACAGCATAGACTGGATCAATTTAGTGTGATGCAGAAAATCGTGTAATAAGCTCTGAGAAACGCGCAGCCCACTCAACTTCTGGGTGTAAACTGCGAACTAGGACTCGGCTGGGAAGATTCCTGGGTACTTTCAAGCAAGACTTCCACGTGGAAGAATCGCTGATGTAATATACAGGCCGTAATAATTAGAATAGGGTTGTGGGGCCCATTATACTATAACCACCATACGGAACCCCCACAAAATAGTATTGGCAACTATTTAGGCCCCTACATTAGCAAGACAGCTCAAGTAGCTTCTCAGGTGCTGCTGGATTCGACAGCCTCTTACCTTCATCCCTTCTCGTTGAACCCTGAAGCTTAAAAAAAAATAGATCGCCAATCTCACACCTTTACAACCCAATCCTCAAACCCCAAAAGAGACCTCAAGAGCCACCGAAGCCTCGACTCGATGCCCGAAGACCGGAAACACTGGCTCCTGAGACGTGCTTCCCATGATTCCTTCTCAGCCTGAAGCGAGGCTACGGCAGCGTAGAGGTATCGGGGGGGCGGCATGGCATGCAGGAGCAGCATGAGAACCAGTGATTTCCAGAGCAGGACATGCACACTGGCCCCCCTCCCCCCCTGCGGCTCAACCCTCCTGGCCTTTGATCGGAACTAGCCACGTCTGCACCAAGGCTCTACGCGTTGGAGCCCAAATGCACAGATCAGCGGCACGACAACGAAGGTTTTCTCGCGCGAACATGGTGCAGGGCTTTTCGAAACCAAATCTTCTACCCTCAACCGAGCTTCCGGTATGCCACGGTACTGTAGGAGGGAGCCCTGCCCGAGCTTCTGCCGCCTCTTGAAGCCTTGGGATTTCCCAATACGGTTTGAGACATGACCTAGTTCTCACCCAGAGTATCCGGAACCGGATACACCGACGTCTTGCTGAACCCCGAGTTCACACCTCGGAACAGCCTGAACTTCGACGCACCCTTCAGCCCCAATGATCTCCGTTTGTCTGGAGAGGGTGTAACACAAGTGCACAAAATGCCGGCGCTCGGGCGGGCTTGCAATGTAGTCATCTAGCGGACCTCTCGGCCTTGTCAATTGTGGTTGGGATCCATGCACTTTCGGGCAGAAGAGTTTGGGAAGGAAACTTGGAGATAGATCATAGTGGTCCACTCATGTTCAGCAGCCGCTTGGAAGTTTTTTGTTCGACCCTACTAATGTGGGAAGCAGACAAAGAACAATGTATTTTGCAGAAGCGCCTGGTTCTGTATCCAGTAGGATCCAAATTTTTCCCTCTGAAAAACCAAAGGGGTTCTCAATCAGGTTCCTACACTAGGACTCCGGAAACCTTCACATGCATTACGTACGTACGTGCGTACGCGTGCGCAAGCCGCACAGTCTATACTTTATACAAGAAGAATAAACACACACGCACACATGCGTTGTTGTCCACATATATAGGCTCCCATTTCGTTGCCACAATCGACCACACAAAACTCACAACACCCGGAGATACACGACTAGCTGCCCGATAAGTTGGCATGATGAACAACACAAAGCGTAGCCCCGTCTAGCAGGTTCACTCCGTTTGCATTACTCAAGCTGTCTTTGTTAGACCTGTGCTGCAACGTGATGCCAGGCCACTGCACAGGACTGTTGAACTGAACAAACTCAAGAATGGACTGCTCCTATTCCAGCTCGAATCATCCCTTGTACACAATCGGCAAATTCGATGGAGACCATGGTGTCCTTCGATTTCCTCAATGCTACCATGACTGCTCTTTGTTACTGATTGTGGTCAGGCCAATTATCTTTGTGGATCGTCCGACACATCCCTCGTCTCAGGATAATCTCGTGGGTTGGAGGATCGGGCAGAAGGACAGATGGCACTTGGAACACTGACTCTCTCTTGTCACGATTTGTCGCGAAAAATACAGTTCCTAAACCCCCAAACCCTAAACTCCTGAAAGCACAGGGCCGAAAGTCCGAAGCCCCAAAATCCGGCACACCAAGAATAACCAAACAAAGTCCCCCAACACCCTACAGCCGCAACCTTCCGCTGGCCCTGGCACCCCCTGACCGTGGCCTTGTCGTCTGGGCCGGCTCAAGGATGTGATCCGGCTCCACGTTCTGGGGCTCCTTGTTCCACATGTTTGTAGGATCCTATGAGAGCTTCTTGGTAATTTCTCATAGGTTGTTGGAGGCTTTCATAAGGCTTACAAACCAACTGTTCTTCATTGCTGTCTTGCTTAACTCCAGTTTGCTAGTTCTAACGGATGTCAACGGCTCGTGAGGTCTGTCCCCTTAGCGTCTGCTGTTGAGCAAACTTACAATCCTCAACTGATGCGCATGATCATCAGAACCGCGGAGCACTCCGAGCAAGGACTCCTGATGCCCAGAACACGTGATTCTCCGAAAGGCAAATTCAAAGAGCGTTCAGGCCGCATGGGCTAGGCAACAAAAAGGTCAAGTGAAAAAACATAAACCATCACGTAACATCTTAGACTAGATATGCGGATTTCGAACTCCTCAGCCAAAGTCGAATAAACAACAACACCGGCCAAGACCAAACCTCTCCCCCTTCGGAATATCAGCCCCAAATTCGCGTGGGTAGGAACCCCAGAAGAGGACCCTGATTCAGAGAACCGCCCCCGAAACCCTGAACCCTAAACCCATGTTATAAATTTCCGTGGAAAAAAACCCCAAGGATTGGGCCTCTACGGCCTGCTTCTTAGGGAACTGGACACGGAGACCTGGGACACACAGGAGAGCCTCCGAGTTCGGGCCCCGTGTGGGCTTTCAGTGCCGTGTGTGTTGGGCTTTGGCCCTCGGGTTCTCGTAGTCTTGGTTTCGGGGGCCCTTGCGGGGGCAAAGGGGGCTTGAGGACTTCAGGGTTTCGGGTTTTTTGACTTTAGGTACGGTAGAAAAGAGCCCTGGATAGTGCGTTTGCCTCAACCTTGGTCCGAGTGGCAGTCACGAGATCTTGGCCCCTTATCAACTACCGAAGCCCTGGGCAGCAGAAAGTCAGGCCCTGAACCCTTCACCTGATGTCTGGCGTCACCACCGGTGCTCTTTCCTACTGCAATTCCTCGCAATGTAACATGATGCCACCTTACGATGCCCAGACCAGGACGATAAGTGACGAGAAGCCGCCAATGTGGGCCAAGCGTTGCTCTGTCGTCAACACGAGACCCTAACCCGAACACCAAGCTTTCTTTCACACCGCAGCTCTCTGCATGCATCTGCCCGCCGATCCACAGCGGCACAATTCCGAAAATAGACAGCCGAAGCCCTGAGGTCCTAAGCCTCAAAGCCGGAAGCCCACACTGAGCAATTCAGCCAAGGAACAGCAGTGCGAATCCTCCCGCCCAGCTTTGAAGGTTGGCAATTCAAGGTTCTCTGGCTCTTCAGGTTTATGTTGCTTCCGTTTCAGGGCTTGGGATTTGCATGTTCGGAATCATGTGGCCGCATGTGTAGCAACGGTGTCTTCACAACTTCATTCACCGTGCAGCACCTGAATTCCTCAGTGAATGTCCTCCTGTTCAAACACTTACGTACGTCTTTCACCCGACGTCTTTTTTGCCTGGAAGCCGTAAAGAAGATGCCGATGAATCAAACACCCGACTCTGCCGGACCTGCGATTCGCTGTTCTTTCCTCCCCTTTTCCTGGCCGGGGCTTCGTAGCTCTCGGTTTCAGGTCCTCTGGAGCTTCTGAGCCTTGAAGGTTTCGGGTGTGGTTTTCATACAGGGCCACGATAACAGACCATAACTTTCATGGGCAACCCTACCGGAAAAGCAAGTATAGAACAGACAGGACAGGCACCCATGGCACCTGCAGGGCCGAGGGTGCCGAGGTTGCCGGTTTCATGGTGTAACAAGTGTAACAATCTGCTTGCGAAGCGCTGAGGCAGCAGCCATAGACAGCTAGACCCCAAGCTTTGCAACAGAAACCCACACCGAAATTCAGGGCTTACTTTTAAAGGATTCCAAAAGGCCCCAAGGCCCTCGACAAAAATAACTAGGCATTCAATCCAACCTCTCGGACAATTGGGGCCTTAGGTCAGAGGACAGCAACAAGGGGGGCTTCAATCAATTGCCGTGAGCACTCTTACTACGCCACTATCTCTATGCCCATGATTATGGCGAGTGTTATTACTGTAGCATGGTAAGATGTAGCACTCTCAACCCTAAACGCTAAACCCTAAACCCCTAAACCCTGAAACCCCTAAACCCTAAACCGGGGGACGTCAGGCGCGCAGAGACGGGCGTTGCATGCTGAGGTCAAGGACTTCGAGTCTGATAATGGCCACGCTTCCAGGTGGAAATATCAAAGCTGCTTGGACCCTCAACCCTGAAAGCCCTAAACCCTCAAGCCCAGGATAAATACAAATTGTTTTGAAAGCAAAAGCCGAAACCCGGTCAAAACCCGCACAAAGCCGCACAAAACTCAGGACCCGAACCCTAAACAATTTGTATAAAC